GCTTATTTAAATTGTATTTAACCCTTATTCCTGCAAAATGGAAAGTGTGTATAAGATCAAATCAACCTTGAATGTCTTTGAACTCGATCAGTCATATGCATGTCAAATATGTTGCCGATATTTAAAAAAAAATTAAATTTATATATGTATATTTGACCTTATGCTTGAGAAACAACAAATTTACACTTTCCCTATTTTTCCATTCTTCTGAATTTAAAATTTAAAGATATGTTTTTAAGGCGTTTATTAGAATTTAGAATTATCCGATGCAAAATTTATTTTGCGTTGAAAAGCTCTGCCTTTTAGAGTCAAATGCATCTTTTAATAAAGTTTTGTTAATAAATTGCATTGGGAATTCCTAATGGTATGTCAGATTACTATGTATACATGTAATCTCAGAATAATTTCTGTTACTGCGCATTTCAAACAAAATTGCACAAGTTATATTTATCAAATTTTAAAGCAAAAAACCTAGCTAATATTCTTTGATTTTCAAGTAGAATGAAATGTAAAGCTGGAAAACACAGAAATGAGAAATGCTACATTTTATGCCTAAAGCCCAATAGTCTTTACTGCAGAAACGCCTGTAATGCAACACTGTTATTCTAGTAATTTATAATTTTGTTTCACCAGATACTTGTAGGAAGCCTTTGTCAGGATACCACAAGCTGTGCGAGCTGGCACTGTGCTCCAAAGTCGCACGTAAATACCTCCCCTGAAGTTGAATGGTCTCAAAAGTATGCTGATGAGGCTGTGTCACATAAATATCGTCCATGTTTATCGGCCCTAAAAATAAGTCAAACAATAGCGAAATTAATACGAAATATATCATTAACTTCTGGTTGTATTCCATACACTGCTTGGCGCAGTGATCATAGCGTCTGCTCTAGTGTCGGGAAGAAAGGAGTTGATCCTTACGTCGTGGGTTCGTATCCCACTGTGGGACGTGGAGACGGTCCTTTAGAAGAGACCGTTTTAATCGAGGTCCCGTGTCACAGTAGGTGCTGGCACGAAAATGCATATCTCCCTCCTCAATTGCCCTGAGTGCCGAGTTAAGGACAAAATGCAGCTCTCCATCGAGAAGTGGTGGCTTCTCCATATGAGTAAAGAATTCTCGAGAGGGACGTTAAACAGCATATAACTAATCAATCACACACCATTTGATCATCCTTCTCAGAGTGTATGAAATTGAAAACCCGGGGTTAATTTCCGTGCACCCTTGATTGAACCATCCATCTTTTTGCAGCACTGAGGGAAAATAATTTGGTACAGAGAACAATTTTCATTTATCATCATTTAAAAGAACAGCACGGACATTTGTTTTACCTCTGTAGAAGCTTTTTTCAATGGATCCAGCGTGGAGCAAAGATATGCAAACTTTAGTACCATTGACGTCATCTGACTCCTTCATGTTATGGTATACGAGACTGTCGGCAATTGCGTTACCTTCAAAATTAAAAATTTACAGTCATTTTAAGATTAAATAGCATATACTAGCTGTTCAATGAAATTCATTTAATTATAATTTAATGTACAGAAAAGCAAATCCGTTGCTTAATACATGGATATTATTTTGCATTGACTTAACAATTACCTTATAGTATGAAAAAAGGTATAGTAAAATACTACAAAATTATGTGTAATAAATGACATCTAAAACATTAAAACAGTTAAGATGTGTTTGTGAAACACTATGCTCCCTGCGGCAACTAAGTTTGAAAAAAGCAAATCTTAGCATATAGGTCACAGCCAAGGTCACACAATTATTTTCCTTGGTGTCATTTGAAAGAACATAAATTGTAGAGTACAAATGTCATGTATTTATACAAAATATGAATATCTCCTACGGTTTAAAATTTATGGCGAAAGTTCGAAAAAGCATATTGGTCACAGTCAAGGTCCCAAGGTCATTGCCTAGGCGTTATTTGAAATGATTTCATAAAATTTTGTTGGCTCATAGATTAGCCTACACTTAAAAGAAGTCTAACATTTTTATTATTTTATTTAACGGTCATAACAAAAAGATGTTTGACCGGAGAGCGAGATATTGGACCTGTCGATGAGATTCTGCACTTCTTACGTCATACTGTGGATGGGGTCAGTTTAATATTATTTGCACCCGTTTATGTTTGTTACAGAATAGATAGACCGAATAGACTCTTATAATACGTTCAATATAATTTTAAATAATTAAACCATGTACAATAATATCTGCTTTACCCATGTTACACTCTCTCAAACGACACTGCATGTTTCCCTCCAAAGTGATCAGTGTCCGCCCTACTACTGCCTTAGCTAATTTCTGTATGCCCTTGTACAGGACATCGATCTTCTCTTTTAGCTCTGTGTCTAAGAAAGAATACAAATGAACATTATATTGTTGTAAGATACATTTTAATGGAACATATAAATGGTCTATCTCACTAACCCCTCCTCTCAAAAAGGTTAAAAAGATGTTAGTCCTTGTTATAACTGTAATTATAACTTTACATAACAATAACTTCATAGTGTTAGGCAACTGATTCAACATCAAAATTTTCGGGAGTGGGGGGGGGGGGGCGTCATCCTAACTTCGGTTTTTAAGAAAACCTATAACTGACACTCCTAGTACCTGATGCATGGCGAAGAAACAGTCACTACCCTGTCATACGACTTAGATTTAATGCTAAATGGCAAAAAAGAATCGACCAAATCTGTTTCCCAATCACAAAGCATCACACCTCATCAAACCAAAGACATGGATATTGTTGTGGATATCCTTCATATAATGATTATTCATTCGCGAAGAAGTAAAAATGAGCTTCTTCCGAAATACACCCTATATGCCAAGGTCACTTGTCATGTTAGGCGTTAACACAAGAAAAAAAACCTATTACGCAATGGCTGATTTTAATCCGATTACTGTGACAAATCTGTTTAAGTGAAATATTCTTGAATGGGACGTAAAAAAGTCAAATTAATACATAATCAATATTTAATCTTCCCCAACACAAGACTTTGTTACTAACATTTTTGTTTAAGGTGTTAACTGTATAACGACCATATTCTGTACCTAAGAAATGAATGGTCCGATATTTAAATCCTTGGTAGCATTTTGAAGATGTTATCAAATAAAAATGCTTCACCAGGGGAATTTACAAAATTTTGATTATTCTCCAATTAATTGCACCTTGAATTTTACATTGAAGTCTTAGGGCAGCGCATGTTTTTGATTTTGTAAAAAGTAATTTGAATTTCAAATAAATCTCTCGGTGAAAATATGCATAAACTCTCACTTTATAAAAGTACTAATAAAATGAATTATTTACCGCAGAAATTCTAAGAAATAAAAAAAATTCTTCTTTTGCTCAAGGGCAGATAACTCTTAAAAACTTTTAATGTGCAAAATAACGGTCTCCTTACAAGTTATCAGTCTTGTGAATTTGGTTCATGTCACTTTTATTGTTATCTAGCAATGCGTTTTCAACTAGTTTAAAATTAACTAAAATCGTTCAAAATACCTTCATTATACATTAAATACTTTAAAGTAATCTATAGCTTGACCAGCGTCTCGATCCATACAAGTAAAAAATCCTCGAGAGGGACCTTATAAATCTATCAATCAGTCAATCAATCAATAAATAAATAAATCAATCAATCAATCAATTAATAAATCAATCGATCGATCGATCAATCAATCAATCAATCAATCAATCAAACAATTGATCGATTAATCAATCAATCAATCAATCAATCAATCAATTAATCTACAATCAGTAAATCAATCAATAAATCAATCGATCAATCGATCAATCAATCAATCAGTGTGATTCAACATTTATCCGAAATTAGAAAGCCCTATATGTGTAATTTAGGGCAAAAAGTTGAGAAGATAAGGTATTTTCTCAATTAAAAGATGGGAATATACATCTACAGAGAAACTTACTTTTTTCGATGAATCTGTCGAGCAAAAGAGGATGTCCTCTGTAACTCATTATTTTTCCATTGTTATCAAATTCAACTCGCAAAAATCCAAGATACTTTCCAAAAGCATAATCTTGAACAACCAGAGTTCTTTCACCGCCGGGTTTATGTACAACATGTGGATATTCCCCGGATGGTATTTCAGTGGATGGAGGAGGGCCTTTACATAAAACAACGCAATTTTTAAAATGTTTTTATTTTTGATATACACATACACCAAAAATAAAATAATTTATCAAATGTTTACTATGTCTGGGATGAACAAGCAATCCTTATCGATCGATAAAACCTGCTTTTTGCCTCTAGTTATGATCTAACATACAGACAAAGTAGTTAGTTTTATGTAGAATGTCACTAAGGAATCGACGAAAAGATATAGTGCATTTGCTAACAAGCTCCGTGATCGGCAATATAACTTGCACATTGATGATCTTCAAGGATACTATTGATACTCTTTTTTCATCAACTTGTTTGTCAATTGCTTGTTCTGTTTAATATATATTCCTACTTAGAGCATATTCTGATGTTTAAACTGAGCTAAACTGTAATGTAATCTAGATATGAAGATAAAGCGCTGATTTGTCTCCAATAATTGCAGCCAGTTCATTGACATATACTATAACATACACTCGTTACTTAACCTTAACTTGTTTTTTATTTACATTTGTAGTGTAATGTATAACCTGAGTATAGGAATGTATGAGTATGTCCTCCAATGACTACATCCACGTCAGGAATCTCTGCGATTCTCTTGTCCATTTCAAAGCCTGCATGACCAAGCGCGATAATCTTGTTGACCCCTTCTTCTGTGAGCTTCTGCACCTCACTGCGTACAGACTCAATTTCGTCGTTGAAAATTAAGGAACCTTTAAAGAAAGATTAAGCACTTTAATAAATTTCAATATATTACTATTAGAAATAAAGAAAGTCTTCTCATCTTCTAATTTTTAGATAGAACTTGCATATGAGATAATAAAACATAATTTTACATGTATAATTGTTATTTTCACCAACAGATGCAACTAATTGTGTTCTCTTATTTAAAAAAAAACTTTTATCTTTGTAAGACTCTAATTCTTACCTGGAGATGAAATCATTGGTGTATCCGTCGTCGTGTATCCCACAATTCCAATTCGTTCCCCACCAACCTGTGCTATGAAACTTTTCTTGATGTAAGGAGCAATGGATGGTTCTAGAGAAGAATTGATGTTAGCACTGAGAACAGGGAAATTCACTTCTTTCAAAAACGGAAGAAGACCCTCTATGTTGAGATCAAACTCATGATTTCCTAAAGCCTGGGAAAGCAGAAAATCAAAAAATAATGATCTATTTTGTGGCATCTTATTTTTGTATTCCTTTTCCTGAGATGGAACTAAGTATAAATGATATAAGTTGATTATTTCTCAAATGATAATGCTTTTATTTTTTAAAAAAATCCTGATTTAAAAAGACCTGTCTAGATATTAAAAACAAATTTTAATATTACATTCAAATGAAAAATTTAATTTTAATAAGTTTAATAAAAAGGAGTTACTGCATTTTTAAAGATTAAATAAATGATTAAATAAAGAAATATGCATTTTTGAAATTCTTTTACTTAACAATATTTATCATTACACCTATTGTAAAGCATTCTTCCGAAAGATATTGTTCTGTTAGGTATGAATTGAAACTAATTAGTTTTTGCAAAAATCTATGACATCATAGGAGGGTGGAATTACCTTATATATACATGAAATATACATACAAAACACAACAAAACAAAAAGAAACAGAAAAAGAACAGGAACCAAAAAATTCCTCTACCCCCCTGCCCCCCCCCCCCAAAAAAAAAAAAAAAAAAAGAAATAATGAATTTTTATTGTGAATTCCTCGAAAATCATGATAAAATTTTGTATCTGTACTCGGTGTCTTCTGTAAGTTTCTAAGAGCATGGTACAAAAAAAGACGATCTATACATAACTTCCTATGATTAGTATATTCTCATTCATATGAATATTTTTGAAGATTTATGTGATTTTATTTTTTTAATTAGCACTCAAGAAAAATATGTAAAGTATGGTATGATAAAATTAAAATTCACTGGGATTTTGGAGCCGTTTGCTATCGAATCATTGTTGGGGGATCATCATATTTTTAACTGGATTTGTTTACATCGGTTTTGATTTCTCATTTTTTCCCCTTTGAAATTCGCAAGAAGTTGATGCTTAAAATGTACAAATCATTTATATGATTTATAAGAAAGTAATCAAAATACGTCTTTGTATGACGAAGATACAAGTAAAAGATACAAGTAAAACTATCTTATTAAAGAGGAGAACTATTTGAAGGAATTGACGTTTTTGAAATTATTTCAAAAAATGAATTAAACAGGGTCTTCTGTGAATAAAGACAAGCATACCATTAATTTAAACAGCTGTAAATAAGTAAAAGTGAAGAGTCCAATCGATTAAAATGGAATACAAATGGATAAAAATGAATGAATTGTAATTCACGCACAGAATTTTCTTAATGAAAAAGAAGATACAAAAGATTATTAATATTACAATTTGAATAATATTTAAGGTATGGCAGCACTCTGGCAGCATTTTAAGGATTAGGAATTACTAGTATTCTATTTCTTGTAAATTGTAATTTTGATAAATAAAAAAAGCCATACATCAAAAGAGTTACTGTACGGTTTTAATCGTTTGAAAAGACGACTTAAAGCTTTATGTTAAAATAAGCACTCGTGACATGAAATAGTAAAAAAGCAATATACCTTAACAAAAAAATTGCTCTCAATGTTTTTTGTTCACCTTACCATTGCATCATATCCCAGTTCTGTCATTGTTGTAGAAGTGATGTTTCCGCCATAATGATGAAACCACAGCGTTCCTTGAAACTGGTCTCCTGCATCCAACAATAAAGTATTGGGAAAATAATTTCTAATGTCTTGTACTATTGTTTTCATTCTGGCCACACCACCGTAACAAAAACTTCCACATTCCCGCTCTTCATAAATACCATTTTCTTGTACATGTGAGTGAACATCATTCGTATGTAGGAGTGTTAGATTAAAGGCTGCACAAGTCCAAAGCAAAAAGCACGACAAAAGACAAATTGATCCAGAAAAGAAAAAATTAAAAGCAGCCATTGTTATATATACAAAAACTAGCGGGCGAAGACAATCTTCTCAGTAAACACAGATTAACAAGTTCAGTACTGTTCCTTTTTTCACCTCAGCGATAAGAACATTTGAAATAAGCGCAAACAGAACTGTACTTTTTTCTCGAGTGTGTTTATATTGAATATGTACTTTAGAGCACACTTTATTTACAACTTGCTAGGTGGGAAATTATGCAGCAATCTCAGTTGAGCGTGAAGCTGAATTATAGTAATATTGATTTCTTTCAAATTATCCAATTCCATTTGCTGTCGATGATGTAATGTTTTAAAAACCATTGGAACGTTAAGAAGACATGCACTTTGAAGTGATTTGTTTTTCTTGTTCATATTTCACAAAACGTAAAATAACAGAGTTTTATCTTTCTTGCTTTTTCATGCATATACATTTCTGAAGAATATTAACAACCAAAACAGATAATGATAGAATTAAAAAAAATAGATTCACTAATAAAAGAATATACATCATGCTAAGAACGTCTTTATTTTAGAGGGCGGAATTTCTATAATGTAGTGAAAATAATCTGAAATTCTCTTATACTCAAAAACTACTAAAATATGAAGACTTTTTCATCCTGTATTTCAATACCATGACTCTCAGTGAAGACATGAAAATTGGACATTAAGAACTAAGTCTCTAGTCGATATTTATGGTTGTAATCGAAATTTGGGACAGGGTCATATTATCGATAAAGTACACCTAGTGTTTTGAAAAAAGAGAGTAGTTTTACAAAAGCATGCCCAAGTAAGATTTTTCTATTCATTGCTGATATGTACATTATTATCCTTGTCTTTCATTGCAAATTTATTTTTTTTAAGTATTATCATTCAAGTATGTAACAGTTAAAGGAAAAACCAATGCAACATCTGTTCAATGTGAGCGTGGATTTTGATTTTCGTTTATGACGTTGCACTTCCGTTGACCTTGACGCGTAAAATATAAAATTTCATAGTTTGTGTCTAGCATATTTTTTAAAAATGATTATTTGCTATTAGGATTGCAGAAAAAAATGTTTTTAAAAGTAATTAAATGTTTCTTTTACAACACAAGTCTTGATTGTATCTTGTTTGACTACTTGTTTGATCGCAATTCAACGACTTTTGATCTACATGGTTTAAACTTATGTAGAATCTTTAACCGTTGCCTGAATTGTATTCAAAATATATACCGGGTATATCTTTTTTACCAAATATTACAGTGACATCAGTCATGCCTCACAATGAAAAAGAAAATAGTACATAGAACTTGAACATGGTCATACAGGAAAACAACCTCACTATGATCGTAAAACTTTTTAATAAAAACATTTAAAACAAGAAATGTCAGAACAAAATCAGTAGCACAATGAGTTTCAAAAAACACACAATAAGACAAAATACATCTCAAGCAAAGAAAAAAATTGTATTATTTAACCTTGGTGTATATACTAAGGTTGAGAACACACGGATAAAAATATCACACTTGAAATGAAATGCATGTGAATAAAAAAAAACAAAACGCTTTAAATTTTAACGTTTAAATGTAGACTTGTAAACAAAACATCAAAATCTAGCAGTGAAAATGATAAATCATAATAAACAATAACTAAAATATAGTGTGGTAGTTAGTCTTTGTCAAAATCTAGCAGTTAACATGATAAATCATAACCAACAATAACTATAATATAGTGTGGTAGTTAGTCCTTGTCAAAATCTAGCAGTTAACATTATAAATCATAATTAACAATAATTATAATATAGTGTGGTAGTTAGCCTTTGTCAAAATCTAGCAGTTAACATGATAAATCATAATTAACAATAACGATAATATAGTGTGGTAGTTAGTCCTTGTGATTGCTGGGCCACTGCTGATTCCACACGGATAGTTATTGTCCACGAACTCTATTCTGCCCTCCATGGCGGTATATAATGGAGACATGTCCTTGACGTAGGCAGCGAAAGCATCTGTATCCAAATTTCCTGCAGGTAAAATAACCTTTTTATAACTTTAATATTTTAATCAGTTTATTCACAAGAAATATATAAATATATTGATATTAATATAATAAGAAACAAGTGGTTTTAAAGATAAATAACACAAACTTTTTCCAGAAATCAGCAATATTTCTAAAAGATTTACATTTAAATTGGTATCCTGAATAATGTGTACCAAGTATAGTGGGAGAAATGTATAAGATTTTGTCATAACGCAGCACAGTTAAGGTAACAGTAAGGAAGCGGGGCCTAATTTGTACGGGAAATGTTTACTATGACGTCACGCATAATATAAGGTCTTCAAAATACCACAAAATGAAATTATTTGCTATTTCAAACAGCTGGATAGCTGTAAACTACATACAAACTTACTATTACATGCAGTTTTGTCGTCTGTTAAATCCCACACAAACGATGCATCGATCGCAATGCACTTGTCAATGTGACGTCATCTCGCAAAAATGACGCAGTTTTTACACAATCAGAGGCTGATCAAGTCACATTTTTTACAATGAAAAATGTCTTTTGTTCTCAAATAAAAAATTATTTGCGGTAAAATAAAAAGCCATTAATTTGGATGCGATGTTTATTTTAGTATTTTATTCATAAACTGTATGTGCATTTATCAGACAAGCGATACTGTCGTGTGTTTGTATGCAGATTCATTGTAAAAGTAATGTAAGGGCCCTAATAAATCGATTTAACATACCCTCAATGTATCTTGTCAAAATTTACACATAAACTCAAGAAGCATTAAGATATTTGAAAAGTGCTGCGAACCTCTTGAAATCTTGCAAATTAATTAATTATAGCTATATTTAATGTAATTGACCAGCAAAATATTCAACCTGCCGTCCAACAAATTAAATTTTACCAATTAAAAAAGGGAATCTATTTAGGTTCGCAGCACTTTTCACAATCTACATATAGTGTTGAAAAGGATTATAAAATAAACTAAGATTTTTAGCTTGGTTATGCCCTTGCAATATTGAAATTTATAGATGACCTCTAAACTGCAAGTATAATTGCCAAAGTCATGTGATCGACATCAAATGACAAGTCTAAATAAAAAATCTAAATGTCCTCAACATGTAGATTTAAAGCACATTAAATTTTTTTTATATCAGTGAATTCCTAAAAAGATTCGCCCATCCTAATAAAGTATGTATTTTTTATCTTAAAAAATCGCCGATATTTCCATTTGTAACCTTAACTGTGCTGCGAAGGTAAAAATTTGTCCAAAATTTTGTGTGGAATTATATAGAAAGTAAAACAAAGTCTCATATCTAAGGAAATCCTACGACTTCTTTATATTTCAGGGTTTTATTATTCATGTCATTTTAAATCAAAATCAGTCAAAAAATATATATCAATCCATGCATTCATTTTTTGTTTGTGTTAAGTACCTTAAAATACTAGAATGATCTATAAAAAAGTTTATATTCTTAAAAGTACAAAAGCATCTTTGCGAATTTGAAGATTAGTACAGTGTCATTAAATTTGTATTTTGTTTTATTTTTCCTTTGTTTCCTAAACCTGTAAATTGTCTTTTTATTATAATTCGAAACAAAACACCGTGTATTTGATAAGCATTATGTAAAAGATAATGTAGTAAATATATATTTTTTTAATTTACCTTGTCAATATATTTTTTATTTAGCATACTTGACATGGATGTGTGAGCCTAATAGCTATTTAGACTTTTTCCACATTATAGATCACTGCTTCGATATTCACCCAGTAGAAACACATTTTTCATATGTTGAATATAAAGAATACATGTGATACAATCAAGTCTTCTTTGGAAAAATTAATCATTTAAATGTGAGCCATATAATGGGATTGACATATAGATATTATACCTAAATGATTACTTACCAACTACATGATCTTGTCGGGCATTGTCTCTGAGAACTGTATAACCATCCCCGCCGGATAGTATAAAGTTGGACAAAATTACCCCATACATTTTATTGTTGTCCAGTGGTTCATATTTCGGAATGTTACAGTCTGAGCATATAACTTGAATATCTACAACTCTTTGGTTTATTGGTTTATTTAGGTTGTATTTCACCCTTATTCCTGAAAAAAATAATTTCAAACTTGCAATATATGTGAAAAGAAAAAAGGAATCTGCACAAAATGCATTTAACCAAAAAAGAAGGAAAAAAAACCATCAACATCCTTCTATAGTGAAACATTGTATTTACATGTACATCACATGGCTTTCGAGGGTGACATACCAAAGTATTTGCCCCAACGTGACATAGAAGCCCTGGAGTGTTATGTCATCCGATGCCGAAGGCAAAGGGTAATATTATACTCCGGGGCTTTTCTTTAACCAACTTGCAAATATTCTGGTAAAGTCTCCCGAGATGCCATGTGGTACATGTATATGTTATATAACTTTTTTAAAATAAAAAAAACCCGTCTCAAATCGATTAGGCTTAGACAAATGATCCAAAGTGTTTTCTTGAGCGGAAGAATTACGCTCCATTGTACTCTAAAAATACATAGATATATTCATAGAAGGCAGAAATTTGTATTTAAAAGGACCTTGTTACAAAAATTACAAAAATAAAGCAGAATTACACATTGTAAGAATACATGTACATTTTTATTTTACCAGAAACTTGTAGAAATCCTCCATCTGGATCAGACACACTATGTAAGGAAGCACTGTGCTCCAAAGCTGTACGTAAATATTTCCCCTGAAGCTGAATGGTCTCCAAAGTACTACGAAAAGGTTGTGCTTCAAATATGTTTCCCATCAATATCTGCCCTTAGAATGAAACGAAGTTGAGCTAATAAGATTTTTCTTGCAAGATGTACGTATAATTGAAAAAAGATCTTCCTTATGAATAAGAAAAAGCAACTAGTAAGACATGTTTTTTAAACATTGATATGGAATTATTCAAAACATTAGTTCTCGGTTTACCAAATCTTTTCATTTTTCTTAAATATCGAATTTTGAGCACAAAGCAACTTTAGGGCTATGAGCTACATTATTGTCCAATCGTAAAATGCGAATATACCTCTTGTTTATTTTTAGCTCACCTGAGCCGAAGGCTCAAGTGAGCTTTTCTGATCACATTTTGTCCGGCGTCCGTCTGTCTGTCCGTCTGTCTGTCTAGCTGTCTGTCTGTCCGTCTGTCTGTCTGTAAACTTTTCACATTGTCGACTTCTTCTCAAGAACCGCTGGGCCAATTTCAACCAAACTTGCCACACAGCATCCTTAGGTAAAGGGAATTCAAGTTTGTTCAATTGAAGGGCCAAGCCTTCATTCAAGGGGAGATAATTGGGTATTAATGAAAATTTGGTGGTATGTTTTAAAAATCTTCTTCTCAAGAACCACTGTGACATTAAAGATGAAACTTATGGGGAAAGATCCTCGGGTAGTGTAGATTCAAGTTTGTTTAAATCATGACCCCCCTGGGGTAGGGCGGGACCACGAGATGGCTGACCAAAGTTTTACGTAGAAATATATAGGAAAATTCTTTAAAAATCTTCTTCTCAAGAACAACAAAGCCACAATTGATCATATTAATATGGAAGCATCCTCAGGAAGTGTAGATTCAATTCTGTTCAAATCATGACCCCCGGGGGTATGGCGGAGCCAAAAGGGCCGACCAAAGTTTTACATAGAAATGTATAGAAAAATTCTTTAAAAATCTTCTCAAGAATAGCAAAACCATAATTGATCATATTCATATGAAAACTTTTGGATTTAAACTTTTCAATAATAAACCAATTTATAAAGAAATATATAGAAAAATTCTTTTAAAATCTTCTTCTCAAGAATAACAAAGCCATAATTGATCATATTAATATGGAGGCATCCTCAGGAAGTGTAGATTCAAGTTTGTTCAAATCATGACCCCCGGGGGTAGGGCGTGGCCACAATGGCTCACCAAAATGTTACATAGAAATTTATTGGAAAACTCTTTTAAAAAATTCTTCTCAAGAATAGCAAGACCATAATTGGGTTTACTTTTGGATTTAAACTTTCCAATAATAAACCAATGACTTTTTCCTAGAAAGGTGAGATGTGGCCCACGGATTCAGTCCGATCGAATTCAAAATTTTGAAAATCAAAATGTGTGGATTGTTATATCATATGTGGATTAAAACCCGTTAACTCCTGATAATTTATTCGAAGATATATGTGTATATTTTAACTTTACATTTTACCTCCTCATTAAAGTTATAAGTATGACAATGACATCTTGTATGCACATTAAAAAGGAGGTTTTATGAATATTCGTAAAGGCTTTTAAAAAAATTCAATTACATTTGTGACTTCCGGATAGTAGTTAGTACTTATATCGAAACACATTTCAGGCAAGTTTAACAAATATATAGAAGTCAAGCAAAATATATCGTAGTAGGTTTTAATACTTTGTTGATAAAAAGGCTAATTTGAAACTATAAAATTTATGTCAAAATTAGTTCTTCTA